AGCATCTTCCATTTTTCAAAGGCATCTATCACTCCTCCCGTCTAAAACATAGAAACCAGCAACAAAAAGACAACAGTTAACTCGGTTTCATAGCAAAGTGACCATGTTTGAGACACAAAAATACAAAGCAAGGCATGTTGGACCACAAGAAAGTTTTCCTGATAATAAACCATTGGGTAGGGATACGTCTGTTTCAGTTTTTCATTTCCAGAAGCTATGAATTACATAGATTCCCCTTTCAATGAGAATTGAATGCAGTCTTTAGCCCATGCTTATCCCTGGGGGACTTTCTTTCTAGGTACAATTAAATATGTCACAGAATAGTGAGTGAGCTTGCAAGGTCTCCAATATTCTCCTGCAGACTGGATGTTATGCACGGCAGGGATTTGTTGTCTTTGTGGCCCTGAAGAAGAGTTCAGGGTTAACAGGAAGCTTGCACCCCATTTTGTGGGAGTGTTTTGAGAAACACAAGAGAACGGACACCCTTGGGTTCATTCAGTCCAGTTGCTAATTTCTCTGTATACACCCAAGACAAAAGTCTACTGCCTCAAGTTCTTTAATTAAAAGATAAAATAAGAATGAATCTGCTTGGAACTGAAAGTGGGAGATTTGCATGGAATGTATGGGATGTGATACTGAGGTAATCTTAGACGGTGGAGGGCAGGACACCACACAGAGTAAGAGCCCAGCATCTGTTAAAGCTGCAGAATAGACATCCCTTAGGCACTGAGATAAACAATGGATGAAGCCGCACAACAAATTAAATGTGCCCCTCTGGTGTGGTTTAGGGATTTGGCAAAGGAGATCTGGCATAAGCTCAGAGGGCAAAGGGGCCAAAGACAGCTGGACCAGCCATGAGGCAGGTGAGGACCCTGCTTCTGCTGGCAGAAGCCCCCCAGACAACAAACCCATTGGTGCCCCTCCTGCCCCGCTGGTTCTGCCTGTGGCGAAAGAACTCAGCACAATCTTGCTTAAAATGGGCAACAATGGTAGTGCCGCTTCTGTGCCTGCAATCAACAGGGTATGGTGTGTGTCAGCGGGCAGATCAGTCCATGGCAGGAGGAGCAGGTAGATGGGCTTAGGAGCCGTGCTGGCAGAATGGCAAAGCAGCAATTATCATTTTGCATCAAGCGGCAATATGGGATGTGCCACCCTTGGCTGATTCTGGCATAGGTATTTTTATATTTATTTTTGCAATGGGGAATTGAGCTTGCAGGCAAAGGATGATCAGTTTAGGGGACGCTGCATTGGGTACTTAAAATGATCAATCCAGGGGTAATGGGTAAGCTGAAATTACCTTTTGGTAAGCTGAAATTACCGGTCGCAACATGGAATTCTAGGAGTACACCTTCCAATCTTTTTAGAATTATTGGGACAACCTCGAGGTAAGCAAACACCATTGGCCTTATGATAGCAATCCCAAATATTCTGAGGTTCCTGGTTTTGTGCAGATCCTGTGCAAAGAGAGAAACAAACAAAAGTGGGGAGAAGGAAGTTAAATCACAATAGAATGAAAGAGAGGAACAACTGCACAGCCTTTTGAACAGGAGTGGCTCTGTGACGCTCTGGGTGCTGTGGCATCCCAACTCCTACCCCCCACCCCACCCCTTGCCACTGGCCCCTGGTGTTTACCACCCTTGCTACATTCACAAGGAGAAATGGTAAATGTGCTTATCCAGATATTTGCTCATGAGTGGAGGGTGTCAGTCCACGAAACACGACAGCAAGAAGTGAGGCACACATGGCTTTCTCTTTGTTATCTTGGCTTCGCTGATCAGAAGGTCGGTGGTTCGAATCCCTGCAACGGGATGAGCTCCCATTGCTCGGTCCCTGCTCCTGCCAACCTAGCCTTTCTAAAGCACATCAAAGAAAAGTAGATAAATAGGTACCACTCTGGCGGAAAGGTAAACGGTGTTTCCGTGCACTGCTCTGGTTTGCCAGAAGAGGCTTAGTCATGCTGGCCACATGACCCGGAAGCTGTATGCCTCAGCCAATAAAGCGAGATGAGCGCCACAACCCCAGAGTCGGCCACGACTGGACGTAATGGTCAGGGGTCCCTTTACCTTAAGTAAGTAAGTAATTAAGTAAATGGCTTAGTCATCCTCTACGTTGGAAAGGAGAAGGAAAAGGACAGGCTGGCCAATTATTGTTGTGAAAGGTGCTCTTCGTTCAGGTAACCGCAAGGGTCCAGCCAAGATTTATTTTAGGAGGGCCTATGAAGTTGTGCCTCCGTTTCATGCTCTTCTGAATGAACTTTCCTTTCACTTGTGGACCATGGTATTTGTTCTCCCTCTACACAGTATTTGGCCTGTTACAAACCGATTACCGTATTTTTTGCACCATAACACTCACTTTTTCCCTCCTAGAAAGTAAGGGGAAATGTCTGTGCGTGTTATGGAGGGAATGCCTACGGGTGGCATGCCTACGGATTTTCCTCCTCTAAAAACTACGTGCGTGTTATGGTCGGGTGCGTGTTATAGAGCGAAAAATACGGTATATCTGCCTCCTGTTAATGAGGTCCTGCTGTCTTTCTTCACAGACATTGGGAGCTCTCCACCACTGTATAATTGTTGCAGAAGGGAACTTCTGCTTGGCGAATGAGAATCAAACAAGTGTCCAGAGGAAAGTATTATTTCTTCTCCCCGCACCATGCCCCTCTTGTAGCATTTTTTGGATCAATCATTTTCAGGAGCCTCTGATCTGAGTAGCTTTAGGCTACCACCCTAAATGAACATCCCTTCTCGGATTTAGGCAAAGGGAGCCAGTGAACTGAGAAAATAGTTTCATTACGTAAAACTTGGAAAACTTTTATGATGCCTGCTAACATGAACAACAGGTTTCTTTACAAGTTGATGATCATTTATCTGATTCCAGTTTAACCTCCTTTAATATAACATTTTTCTGCTATATCCATTTGAGTTTTCCATTAAACCTTTATTATTTCCTCCATTATGTAAAAACTGCATCAATACAAACTCATCTCTCCTCCCTGCCTCTTCCCTCCATTCTGTGTCTTAGAGCCATTCTATTCCGTCAGAAACAGAAATAAGCAGTTGTCATAGTTAGGTTTTTCATTAATTAAACAACCACTGGCAGTACAAAGTATCTCTAATGCAACCTTTTTATTACACAGAATGTCATTTTGATAGAGCAGTGAGTACTAGCTACCTGTTCCATTCCTTACACAAAGCATCAATTACTTAAGTGCTCCCTGAATACATCGTCCTTTGATTGCAAGCTTAATTGGTTGCACAGCCAGTTGTTTTCATACTTTGTCCATTGCAAAAGACACCTATGGCAGAATCAGCCTGGGGCGGCAATTCCCGTATTGCCCCAAATGGCAGCGATCTTTTCCAAAATCAGTGCTGATGATGCTGGTGCTTCTCCTCCACTGGCAGAAGCAGCAGGGCAGGAGGGGCATCCATGGGCATTCTGCCTGGTTGGGGGCTTCTGCCACCTGGAGCAGCGTCCTCACCTGCCTCAAGGCTCTGGGATCAGCCCTGTCTTTGGTTGCTTTGCTTTGTGAGGTTTTGCCAGATCCACATGGTCTAATCCTTAAATCACACGGTATTTGCATGTTTAGATTAATATTCAGTTTCATCTATTGTTTATCTCAGTGGAAAGGGATCACCATAACTGTCCATCCTAAAACTTCAATGGCTGCTGGGCATTTGCTCACTGTGATCTTCTCCCCTCCATCATGTTTGAATAGCTGAGGATTAAAAGGTAAATGTAAAGGACCCCTGACAGTTAAGTCCAGTTAAAAAAGGAAAAAGGATGATGATGATGATGATGATTGCAAGAATGAGAAAAAGGACAAGAGAGCATGTGAAGATTGCCCTTCCTTCAAGTAAGCAAAGAGTCCATCATTTCACCTTTGAAATCTCCTTGCCCTGCATGTCCCACTCCACCTCTTCAATCAATGGACTTGAATCTTTTTTTCTGGAAGAACTGTTTGAAGCTGTTTGAACTGTTTGAAGCTGGAAGAACTGTTTAAGTCCAGTCGCAGACGACTCTGGGGTTGCGGCGGTCATCTCGCATTAATGGCCAAGGGAGCCGATGTTGGTCCGCAGACAGTTTTTCTGGGTCATGTGGCCAGCATGACTAAGCCGCTTCTGGAGACATCAGAGCAGCACACAGAAACACCGTTTACCTTTAAGCCGGAGCGGTACCTATTTATCTACTTGCACTTGGACGTGCTTTCGAACTGCTAGGTTGCCAGGGGCTGGGACTGAACAAGGGGTGCTCACCCTGTAATGGAGATTTGAATTGCCAACATATATATATATATATATACATATACATATATATATATATATATATATATATATATATATATGATTTCAAATACAAAACAAAATTATACACTCCATACATCTTAATTACATCTTCTTTCTCTTTTTTGACTTCCCTCAATTTGTCTGCAAATCCTTCATATTTTTATTTTTCACACATTTCTACCTTATTGTTTATATTATTACTGTAAATTCCATCCATTTTTTAAATACTTATTTTGACATTTTCCCATCACAGAGCTTCATTAAAACTTACAAACGTAATCTGATTATCACTTAGTTTTTGCAAATATTCAATAAATTTTCCCCAATCTTCTGTAAATCTTTGATCTTGTCAATTTCGGATCCTTCCTGTCATTCTATCCAATTCTGCATAGTCCATCATTTTTGTTCTCCATTCTTCTATCGTAGGTAGCTCCTCCTGTTTTCATTTCTGGGCCATCAGTATTCTTGCTGCTGTCACTGCATATAAAAATAACTTCTTTTCTTTCTTGTTTATCTCATTGCCTGTAATGCCTAATAAAAATGCTTCTGGTTTCTTAACAAATGTATATTTCAACATTTTCTTCAATTCATTATATACCATTTCCCAAAAGCTTTTTACCTTCTTACATTCCCACCACATGTGATAAAATGTACCTTCTTTTTCTTTACATTTCCAACATTTATTACTTCTTTATACATTTTTGCTAGTTTCACCGGTGTTACATACCATCGATACATAATTTTCATCACATTTTCTTTTATAGTTGTACATGCAGTAAATCTTAGACCTTGAATTGCCAACATTTTGATTGGCAAGCCAAAGGCTCAGTGGTTTAGACCACAGCGCCACCCACATCCGTTAGCTGAGGATTAGGTTCCATATATTCCTTGCAAAGTGTTCCACATTCAGTTCCAAGCACCTTGCGCATGAAAGCACCAAGCCTGAGAATGAAATCTCAAATGAAACCTCAAAGCAGAGAAGATTAACTCATTGGCCTTTGGATGTTTCTGATCTGGAGATCCCATCACCCATGATCTTTAGCCACAAATAACAGCGACTCCAAGGAGCGCAGGACAGAAGAGTGAAGCAGCTTCAGAAACAGGGTTGGGAAGGGGGAAAGGGGGCTTAGTCATCTTCAAGGGTGGAAAGGAGAAAGGAAAGGACAGGTTGGCCAATTATTATGGGGTGCAGAGTGGAACATGGCAGGTGGAGCAAGCAGAGAAGCAGAGCCCCTCATGTTTGAAAATATTTTTGTAAGTTGCTTTGAGTCTAGTTAGAAAAAGGTGTTTGCGAAAAAGGATGATGATGATGATTGCAAGAATGAGAAAAAGGACAAGAGAGCATGTGAAGATTGCCTTTCCTTGAAGTAAGCAAAGAGTCCATCATTTCACCTTTGAAATCTCCTTGCCCTGCATGTCCCACTCAACCTCTTCAATCGGTGGACTTGAATCTTTCTTTTTCTTTTTGGAAGAACTGTTTGAAGCTATTACTACTCCCAGTGCTATTTCATGGGGGGATGCAGGGGTAACGCATACCCCTAAACATTCTTTGAATCTAAGTTTGGCCAGATTAAGAATAATCATTGTGGGAGGTGAGCATGTGAAAAGTCCCCTTCCTTCACGTAACCGCAAGGGTCCAGCAATGTGGTGGGCACAGGTGAGGGGTGAGTTATTTACCTGAGGGATACATCCCCCTAGCACTGCCTATGTAGGGCATTGCATCCTCCTCATAAATGTTTCATTTGATTTAAGCTATCTCCCTCTGAAACATGAATACAGAACATCCTGAATGTTTGTGATCTTGTGTGGAAACTGCTATTACTGACAGAATGCAGGAATGCCTTTGCAGAGGCACGTGATTTTGGCAACATTCTTGTCCACGTCAGCCTAAGTCACAACGTCCCCCAAAAATTTCATTTATGCAATCTGCTTCTACCTCCCAGCCCTCTCTTGGCAAGCTTTGGGGCTCCATTTGGCTTAAAAGCTGGCTTTGCCTGGCTTTGTCACCACAATTCATCCTGAGCCATGAAGATCCTTCACCTGTGCTTGGCAGTTCTCTCTTTGCTGCTCCTGGCTTCCCCAGGTAAGGGATGGAGAGGAAGAAGACAGAGGGACACCTGCCAGCCTATTATGGGGTGGAAGAGGGAGAGGAGTACAGTTGCTGTTCTGTAGCCTTGCAAAGGAAGCTCACATTTCCTGCTAGAGACATTTCTTTAGTGGTAAAATTAGCATAAAAATGTATTTATCAGACAAAACTGTTTACCAAAGTGTGTCTTTTAGGGGATATATGCACTGTGTTGGTGAATTTCCCCCATTATGCCCATAATTGCTATGCAATTTGCCCTGTTATAACCTATATTTTCATGCTATTGTCATGAAATTACACTTTTTCATGTACATTTTTAAAATACATTACTTGGAGGGAGAGCTGACTTTCAGAGGACGGCTGTGCTTTGATGTTCACATGTTGACTTCATTATGCCAGAGTAATATAAGGAAAAGGGGACACGGGTGGCCCTGTGGTTCAAACTACTGAGCCTTTTGGGCTGGCTGATCAAAAGGTTGGTGGTTTGAATCCCCACGACGGGGTGAGCTCCCGTTGCTCGGTCCCTGCTCCTGCCAACCTAGCAATTCGAAAGTGCAAGTAGATAAATAGGTACAGCTCCGGCAGGAAGGGAAACGGCGTTTCCGTGTGCTGCTCTGGTTCACCAGAAGCAGCTTAGTCATGCTGGCCACGTGACCCGGAAGCTGTCTGTGGTCAAGCACCGGCTCCCAGAGTTGTCTGCAACTGGAATTAACTGTCAAAACAGTCCTTTACCTTTTTATTAATATATGGAAAATGGCATCGCATGTAAAACTGGTAAGGAAAAACAAAAGGAGCCTCTTCTTTTCTCAGTTTGGTTAGATTTTATGCAATTCTATGCAAATTTATGGAATACGTTTTAGAAAATAAAATTTTGATTTGTCTCTTCCACAGGTCTGCCAATAAATTTGGGGTATAAAGTTTCTAATTAGTGGAAAATGTTTCTTGATGTAGTATACAGCCTTTTATTCTGGGTAGTCCTAGGGGCTCTGATGGCTTCAGTTCCAGGCTTTAGTTTCTCTATAACGTATAAGCCATGTGTGCCTCACTTCTTGCTGTCGTGTTTCGTGGACTGACACCCTCCACTCATGAGCAAATATCTGGAGAAGCACACCTACCATTTCTTCTTGTGAATATAGCAAGGGTGGTAAACACCAGGGGCCAGTGGCAAGGGGTGGGGTGGGGGGTAGGAGTTGGGATGCCACAGCACCCAGAGCGTCACATACCCACTCCTGTTCAAAGGGCTGTGGAGTTGTTCCTCTCTTTCATTCTATTGTGATTTAACTTCCTTCTCCTCACTTATGTTTGTTTCTCTCTTTGCACAGGATCTGCACAGGACCAGGAACCTCAGAATGCTAGGCAATGCTATAAGGCCAATGGTGTTTGCCTCCCTCTATATTGTCCCAATAATTCTAAAAAGATTGGAAGGTGTACTCATCGTCATTTCTGTTGCAAATGGTAATTTCAGCTTACCAAAAGAGAATTACACCTCCTACCCCTCTCCCATTACCCCCTGGATTGATCATTTTAAGTACCCAATGCAGAGTCCCCTAAACTGATCATCCTTTGCCTGCAAGCACAATTGCTCCATTGCAAAAAAATAAAAATACCTATGCCAGAATCAGCCAAGGGTGGCACATCCCATTTTGCCGCTTGATGCAAAATGGTAATTTCTGCTTTGCCATTCTGCCAGCACGGCTCCTAAGCCCATCTACCTGCTCCTCCTGCCATGGACTGATCTGCCGCTGACACACGCCATACCCTGTTGATTGCAGGCACAGAAGCGGCACTACCATTGCTGCCAATTTTAAGCAAGATGGTGCTGAGTTCTTTCGCCACAGGCAGAACCAGCGGGGCAGGAGGGGCACCAATGGGTTTGTTGTCTGAGGGGCTTCTGCCACCAGAAGCAGGGTCCTCACCTGCCTCATGGCTGGTCTAGCTGTCTTTGGCCCCTTTGCCCTGTGACCTTATGCCAGTTCGCCTTTGCCGAATCCCTAAACCACACCAGAGGGGCACATTTAATTTGTTGTGCAGCTTCATCCATTGTTTATCTCAGTGCCTAAGGGATGTCTATTCTGCAGTTTCAACAGATGCTGGGCTCTTACTCTGTGTGGTGTCCTGCTCTCCACCGTCTAAGATTACCTCAGTTTCACATCCCATACATTCCAGGCAAATCTCCCACTTTCAACTCCAAGCAGATTCATTATTATTTTGTCTTTTAAAGAAAGAACCTGAGGCAGTAGACTTTTATCTTGGGTCCTGGCAGAGAAATTAGCAACTGGACTGAAGGAATCCCCGGGTGCCAGTATCTCTCCTGTTTCTCAAAACATTGTCACAAACTGGTGAGCAAGCTTCCTGTTAACCCTGAACTCTTCTTCAGGGCCACAAAGACAACAAATCCCTGCCGTGCATAACATCCAGTCTGCAGGAGAATATTGGAGACCTTGAAAGCCCCTCACTATTCTGTGACATATTTAATTGTACCTAGAAAAGAAAGTCCCCCAGGGATAAGGATGGGCAAGAGATTGGATTCAATTCTCATTGCAAGGTGAATCTATGTAATTCATAGTTACTGGAAATGAAAAACTGAAACAGACCTATCCCTACCCAATGGCTTATTATCATGAAATCTTTCTTGTGGTCCAACATGCCTTGCTTTGGGTTTTCGTGTCTCAAGCATGATCACTTTCCTATGAAACTGAGTTAACTGTTGTCTTTTTGTTGCTGGTTTCTAATTTTAGACGGGAGGAGTGATAGATGCCTTTGAAAAGTGGAAGATGCTCCCTCTCTTTGAGAGCCACTGGATCCCGCTTGATCCCCAGCTAGGGACTTCTTCTCCAAAGCATCCAGATTGAAAAAGCAACATTTTCAAGGCTTACCTGAGCTTGTGCCTTGCAATAAAAGCAGATCCAAAAGCCTTTCCCCCTCTGTTTTTCATTTCTAAGCATGAGTGTTCTTGCTAGTGAAGCCAAAATGGCACCTTACATCCATGAGACGGAGGTTTCAGCAGGCATGGTTGTGCAGAGGCCAAGACGTCATTACAAGGAAAACTAAAAGGGGGTGAGGATCTCCCAAAACAGTCTAGCGAGTAGGACTGGACCACAATGTGGAAAATGAAGAGTGGCAAAATATGGAGGGTGGAATGAGAGGGAGAAGAAATTCTGTTCAGTTTCCCTTTAAATGGTAACCAAACTGAGTTGCACTCTTTGAAAAAGTATGCCCATTGAAATATAGTCATCCTTCCAAATTCACAGGTCTTTGAATTTTGGAGTTATTAAACTGACCAGACCAGATCTGGAAATTTCCTCTTATAGATTCTAGGCCCCTCCAGCCACAGAATTACAGGATGGGAAGTAGCCCAGGCTTTTACAGAAACTAACTCCACAAAGCCCACTCATTACAGTATATTAGGCATAATTGCATGCACATGTGCCTACCAGGAAGAATTCTTCATCCTAGGATCCCATGGCATCCAGTCGGGTGAGATAAGAGAATGCACATCCATTCCTCTCTATGGCAACAGAGCTCACTCTTTTAAGATTTAAATGATGGGTATTTAGCTGAATGGCTATACATATAACTTAATCCGTTCCGGAAGTGCGTTCCAAAACTAAGGTGCCCTTTCCCATAGAAATGAATGCAAAATGGATCAATCCATTCCAGAATTTTAAAAACAACCCCTAAAACATCAATTTAACATGAATTTTACTATCTAATGAGAGCATTGTTTCATAAAGTGAAAACAATCAACAATGTACTGCCAACCCACAATCCATCAATCAGTAGCTGAACTGTGTTCCAAACAGTCAGAAAAACAATTCCAAAAAAGTGCCTCAAAAACAAAAAGGCAAAATAAATAGGGAAAAAAGACAGTCCTCAGCATAACACTCGTAATGCAAGCGTAACACTCAAAATGGAGCAAAACTCCAAGAGAGAGAAGTGTGAGGAGGAGGAAGATGTAAAACAGGATGAAAGCTAAGGTCTATCAGCCTAAACAACAAAGAGATTCAGAGGTCCGCTGAGAGGGGAGGAACCACACCACTCTAAGGGTGAATCAACAAACGGGGAGAAATGTCGGGAAATCTACTGTTGAGACGTGAAACTGTCATTTTTCCAACTTGGCATACAGCCAGTGTAGCCTTATTGGAGTTCACCGACTGGGTCTGCGTTGCTCCGGGAAAGGAGAAAGGAAGTCAAATGACACCGAGTTGGTTCAAAGAAAGAGTTTATTTTGGTCTCTGGATAGCAGAAGGCACTTGCGTGATCAAGTTCCACAGCAAGTCCAAAGAAATGACAAGTTTCATGCAGTGTATATATATCCTCCAGGCATCCTCTCCCCCTTCCCCAGCCACGTCAACTTGTATACGCAGGTTGACATCACATATGTTCCTGCTCTGGTACTCTCAACCATAAAAGCATTTTCCTCTTCCTACTCTTGTCTGGGAAGATGTCATAATCTCCAGGAACACGCTTTTGGTGTTTTCCCCGGACGTTGGTCTTGCGCGTATTTTGTGGTCAGCACACAAGATAAAGTTCTGACGTGTTTTCTTTGTTCCCTTAGAGAGCCAAGTCCATCCCTTGCCGTGACTGATAAAGGAGAGAGCTCGTTTATGTTTTTGCTCAACAGCTCAAGTTTTAAAAGTGCTCTCTTTTGAAAAAACAAAAAGGGGGGGGTTGAGTCAGTTTTAAACTTACTACACAGAAACCCATTCCTTCATTCCCTCCTCTTCTTTTGGACAGCCTTATGGCTCGTCCCAAGGCACTGGCTGGTATTCTCATGTCAGTGTTATAATCTGGGGCCGAATCATTCGTGACATCATTTTACTCATCATATTTTGCAAGCATTGCATTTAAGCAGGGTATACAGGAGCAGAAAAGAAGCAAGATTAGTCCATTAACATCATTACAAGTCCTCTAAGCCACTCAGTCAACCAAGACATGTCCCATCCGTTCCAGGTAGAGACAGGAACATGGGTTACTTTCTCTCTTTCTGTTGCCAGGTGTCAAATAGCTACACCATGGTTAGAGATGTTAAAGCAACAGGCTCCTTCTGTCAAATTTAACGCAGCACAAAATCTGGCGGAACCCAAAATCGGGCCAGCCTAACCTCTCTGTGGAATACGTTTTTAAAAATAATATTTAGATTTGTCTCTTCCACAAGTCTCTCAAGAAATTTGGCGCATGTAGCGTCTAATTAGTGGGAAAGGTTTTTTGATGCATTTAAAGAGCCTTTTTTCTGGGTAGTCCTTGAGTCTCTGATGAGTACAATTACAGGCTTTAGTTTCTCTATAACTCATAAGCCATGCATGCCTCACTTCTTGTATGAGAAGGAGGTGTCAGCAGGCATGGTTGTGCAGAGGCATAAAACGTCCCCCTCCACCTTGTTTAGATAGCTCAGGATCTAAGATAGCTCCCATATATTCCATGCAAAGTGTCCCACTTTCAGTTCCAAGCACCTTGGGCATGAAAGTACCAGGACTGGACCTGAACCTGTTGCCCTTTGGATGTTTCTGATCTGGAGATGCCATCACCCCCAATCTACAGCCATACTGACAGCGACTCCAGGGGGTTTTAAACAGAAGAGTGAAGCGGCTTCAGAAACAGGGTTGGGAAGGAGAAAGGGGGATCTGTCATCTTCTAGGGTGGAAAGGAGAAAAGGAAGGACAGGCTGGCCAATTATTATGGGGTGCAGAGTGGGAAATGGCAGGTGGAGCAAGCAGAGAAGAAGATCCCCTCCAGTTTTGAATTATTTTTAAAGTTGTCTTGAGTCCTGTTTGAAAAAGGTGTCTGGGAGATATGGTGGTGGTGAGTTAGGAAGAGGAGGAGGAGGAGGAGGAGGAGACAGGTGAAGATTGCCCTTCCTTCAAGTAAGATGAAGAGTCCATCAATTCACCTTTGAAATCTCCTTGCCCTGCATGTGCCCACTCAACCTCTTCAATTGGTCGACTTGGATATTTTTTTTAAAGAACTGTTTGATGCTATTATGACTACAACTAATAATAATTTTAGGATATGAGCCTGTGAAATGCTCTTCCTTCCAGGTAACTGCAAGGATCCAGCAATCTGGTGGGGACAGGTGAAGCGTGAGTTATTTACCTGAGGGATAAATCCCCTGGGCATTGTATCCTCCTCATAAATTTTCATTTGATCCAAGCTATTTCATTTTGAAACATGACTGCGGCAGATCTGGATGTTAAAAATCCCCTAGGACAACCAAACTAGGTGTCTCCAGGAAGCAGCTCAGGCAGGGAATCCTTGGTGCAAGCGGGGAGGTCATACACCAAAAGGAATCCTGTACTGCCCCTATTGAACAACTCCCAGAACATGAACTCAGAAAACTGGGTCTTCCCAATAGGACGCCTGGTGCAGACTAACGACTTCCTAAAAATCCTGGGGAAGCCAGGAGCAGCAAAGAGAGAACTGCCAAGCATAGGTGAAGGATCTTCAGGGCTCAGGATGAGTTGACGTGGCAAAGCTGAATGCCAGCTTTTAAGCCAAATGGAGCCCCAAAGGTTGCCAAGAGAAGGCAGGGAGAGAGCGGGAGATAACATTTCAGTCAGGAGCAGCAACGTTCTAAGATTTCATCAGCTACATACTCAGAGTCCTGGTGGACTGTTTTGATATAATTTTGATTTATTCAGAGAATCTAGAACAGCATATACATCATATGAAAGATGTTCTTCAGAGTTGAAAAAATGTGCTTTCAGAGTTGAAAAAATAACAGTTCCACTTCTCAACAGTAGATTTCCCGACATTTTCCCCCTGTGTGTAGATTCACCCTTAGAGTGGTGTGCTTCCTCCACTCTCAGCGGACCTCTGAATCTCTTTGTTCTTTAGGCTGATACATCTTAGCTTTCACCCTGTTTTACATCTTCCTGCTCCTCTTCACACTTCTCTCTTGGACTTTAGGATTAGAAGTCACCTCCAAACTCTACGCTAGGAGATCAAAGGAGAAACAGGCCAGCCACAGCCACAGATGGGCAAGAGAGGCCAGCAGGCTGTGGCCTTCAGGGCAGGACACAAGGGGGAAGAGTTGGGGACACTGAATTATAGTTGTGATTCTTGGAAGAAGAGAAACAGATGGAGTCTCCCCATTGCTTTCTCCATATAGGGTCCCTTGCTGTTCTCAAGAAATCCTCCCAAATTCCTTCCATGAAAATAGGGACATCCTGTTTTATTATGAATAATAATTTTACTACAGTGGTACCTCCAGTTACAAACGCCTCAGGTTAGAAACATTCTGGTTACAAACTTCGCTAACCTGGAAGAGTTACCACGAGTTGAGAACTTTGCCCCGGGATGAGAATGGAATCGTGTGCCGGCAGCGCAGCGGCAGCAAGAGGCCCCATTAGCGAAAGCACACCTCTAGTTAAGAACAGTTTCAGGTTAAGAATGGATCGCCAGAAATAATTAAGTTTGTAACTAGAGGTACCATTGAAGGAATGGGTTTCCCAAACCCAAAACTGACAGTGCAGGCAGTTTGAAACTGCACCAAAATCCCTATTTTACCTGAGCTAAAATGCTTTAACTTGAGCTCTTGAGCCAAAACCCAGCTGTATAAACAAGTGCTCAAAGTTCTCTCTCTTATCAGTCTATGAAGGCTGGTAATGACGGATGCTTTGTCCATTCCAGAGTGGAACAGGGATGACACTCTGGGCCTTATCTTACATCCTGACCACAAGAGCACAAAGATGCACAGACCTAGTCCGGGAACAGCGCCAGAGTGTGTTCTTGGAGTTGGTGACCTCTTGCTCCAAGAGTAGAAGAACAGAAATACCCTTTTATGGTCAGAAGTACAGGAAGGAATACCCTTTTATGGTTAAAAATACCGGAGCAGGAACATATGTGATGTCAACCTGCGTGTATAGGCTGACGTGGTTGGATTCCTGGGGAAGGAGGAGAGGG